CGCGGCCCGCTCGGACCTGACTCGCCGCTGGCGCTCTCGCCTACAGTTGCGACAAAAAGTAACCCCACCAGCCCATCCAGAAACGATGCCCAGAGGAATTGCCTCGATCAGGGAAGTGGGCAACACACAGAGGAAGGGTCCCCCAATGGAGACCTCTTGGAGCGTCTTGGGTGCCTCGGAGAGCTTCTTGGGGCCTCTTGGGGTTCTCTTGGGAGCATCTTGGAGGCCTCTTGGGCGCCTGTTGGGGCCTCCTGGGCGCCTCTTGGGGCCCTCTTGAAGCGGTCTTGGAGGCCTGGGGAACGTTCTCGGAACCATCTTGGGGGCCATGATGTGTCCCAACATGGTTCGCTTCTTGTTTGATCGATGTCATCGATCAAACAAGAACCGAGCATTAGTTAGCGTTTCCCCTCTGGAGCCCAAGCAATCGTCTCTTGGGGCGCTCTTGGGGCGCTTTTGGAGCGCTCTTAGGCGCTCTTGGGGCCCGTCTTGGGGCTCTCTGGAGCTTTTCTTGGAGCCCTCTTGGGCCACCTCAGAGCCATCTTGAATCTTCGGATGGCCATCGGAGGCGGAAAAGGCGAGAAAACCAAACACAGAATTCTAGACGCTTCGCTTATCCCCACCAGCCCATCCCGAAACGATGTCCAGGCGAGTTGAGGTGATCAGGGAAGTGCGGCAGCAAAGAGGAGGACGGCCGAACCGTGCAAAGGAGTGAGGAGGAGAAGGAGGAGGTGGATGGATGGATGGATGAGGGAGTGGGAAGACGGAGGATGAATAGGATGAGGAGGAGGCGGAGGAGGAGGAGGAGGAGGAGGAGGAGGAAGAGAAGGAGTAGGAGCAGGAAGGAGGAACAGGAGGAGGAGGAGGAGGGCAAGCACAAGGGCCAGAGGTCTCTTGGATGCCTCTAGGAGCCTCTTGGAGTATCTCTTGGGCGATTCTTGGGGGCCTCTTGGGACGTCTTGGGGGTCTCTTGGCGATCCTGGGGGGCTCTTCGGGGTCTTGGGTGCCTCGGGGGGGGGGGCCTCTTGGGGCCTCTGAGGGTCTTCTTGGGGGCCTTCTGGGGGCCTCTTGGGGGCCTCTTGGGGCCATCTTGGGGCCATTTTGGGACCTCTTGGGGCCTCCTGGGCGCTTCTTTGTGCCATCTTGGAGGAGATCTATCAAAGAAGAGCTGAGCTTTAATTAGCGCTGCCCCCCCAGGAGGCCAAAATGGGGCCAAGACCCTGCTAACATCAATGATGTTGGCTTCCTCGCCCAGGCTGTTTTGGACGCTCTGACCGCTCCCCGCCCCTCCTGTCCAGGTCAGTGGGGAGGGGGTAGGGGGAGGGGTAACCCCTCCCCGAAGGGGAAGAGGGAGGGGTGGAAGAGGAAACGCCCTAAACCACCGACGCCCAGAGGGCTGGTGGGATTAGCGCTGCCCCTCCAGACTGTATAAAATCGCTTCCTGGACCCCTCTTGGATCGCTCTTGGAGCGCTCTTGGACGCTGTTGAGGCAGTCTTGAGGCTTTCTTGGGCCCCTGTTGGGGCCCAGTTGGGACATCTTGGCGCCATCTTGAGGCCTCGGATGGGCTTCGGAAGCGAAAAACTGAGAACACCAAAAACATTGATTTTCCCCAGGGTTTTGAAGCATTTCGGCCTTTTGAGGGCACTCTAATGATGCTCTTGTGGGCACTTGGAACCATCTTGGAGCGGTCTTGGAACGTTTTGGAGCGTCATTTTGGGCTCTCCGAGGCGCTCTTGGAGTCATCTTAATCAGTGCCCCCCCCAAGAGGCCAACATGTGGCTAACACCTTAGTGCAAACAATGGTTTGACATGATCGCCGAGGCCTCTGGGAGCACCTTCCTCGGATGGCCATCGGAAGCGAAAAGGCGAGAACACCAAACACAGAATTTCCTCAGGTTTTGACCTCTTCGGGGCCTCCTGGGGGAACTCTTTGGCCACTGGGAGCCTTTTTGGAGCGGTCTTGGGGCATCTTGGAGCATCGTGGGAGCCGTTATGAGACATCTTGGGATATTTTGAGCCATCTTGGAGGTCATCTTGGGCTCTCCCAGGCGCTCTTGGAGTCATCTGAATCAGTGCCCCCCCCCCCCAAGAGGCCAACATGTGGCTAAAACCTTGGTAAAAATCAGTGATTTTGCATTCTCGCCGAGGCCTCTTGAAGCGTCTTGGGTGCCTCTGGGGGGTCTCTTGGGGCCTCTTGGGGGTCTCTTGGGAGCCTCTTGGGGGCA